AACAACATTTTAAGAAGGGAATTTTGTTCAACTTTTTGTCTGTTGGCTGAGGCTGGATTTAGTTTTGTTTTGCTTTGTTTTGTTTTCTTGGCAGTTTAATACATTATAAACACAAACTATTTTAAAATGGAACCATATTTAATAAGTACCTCCATTTACATTCTCTATTTACTTTTGGCACATTACATGCTATTTTTTCAGTTAAAATAGAAAAGAAATGCTGCATTTCTTGTTTGAATTTTGATCTATGCCCTCTCCTACCTAAATTACTTGAACAATAGCAATAGCACTTAGATTTATATACCACTTCACAGTGCTTTACAGCCCTTTCTGAGCAGTTTACAGAGTCAGCATATTGCTCCCAACAATCTGGTCCTCATTTTACCAACCTTGGAAGGATAGAAGGCTGAGTCAGTTTTGAGCCAATCAGAATCGAACTCCTGGCAGTTGGCAGAACTACCCTGCAATACTGCACATATATACAACTTCTATTTTTTTCTCTTTCTTTGCATCACTCCTTCCTTTTTTTTCTTTCTCTTCCTTTCTCACTTTGTCTGCATGTTCATTTTCTATCTCTTGCTTTTTATCTATATGCCCAGTTCTGCTGTATGCAAAGTTTTATGAAACAGGCTGACAGCAGAGCTCTCAGTGAATGTTTTCATGGTGCATATGGTCTGACATGGATGAGCAGCCACGGTGAGATTTTGGAGTCTATTAAATGAGCTCATTAAAAAGATCAATCTGTTTCTATAATAACACTGGAAGTCATCAGTCACTGAATGAGAAAAGAGAATGACACCTGAGGAGACAACACATTTTTAATAATTTTTCTTGGTATATTAGAAACAAAGTGAGAAATAGATATAGATATATGGATGTGTGCATATAAATCTCTTGCTATATATAACTCTTTTTCAGTCTGTACAGAAAATGTGTATGTTTTCCAAAAAGAAGAGCTCATACTTGTGCATTTTTAAATATCTCTATTCATTTGTACATAGCATCTTTTATTAAATGCCATATGCTTTTGTTCTGAGTGGAATCCTGATCTCTTTAGGTCTCATTAGGAAGAATTATTTTGGTTTTGAGTTTTCAGATCTAGATTATGCTGCATTAGCTTTTCCAATACAGTTAAAGTAAACTATCACCAAACTTAATTTCTTAGTTGGAAATTAATACACAGAAGCAACTACTTTGGCAATGTGTATCACAGATCATCATTCTCTTTTATATAACCTCCAATCTTGTGACTGATGCTTGTATTCTACTCATCTTCCATAGTGAACAATAGTTGCACTTGACTTGTGAAGATTTTTTTTCCCTCTCATCCATTTTCCTCTCATCCAATGAGCCATGCAGTTGTTAGAATGCAGTATTGCAGGCTACTTCTGCTGATTGCCGACTGCCTGCAGTTTGGCAGTTCGATTCTCACCACTCAAGGTAGACTCATCCTTTCATCCTTTCGAGGTCAGTAAAATGAGGATCCAAATTGGTGTGGGCAATACGCTGACTCTGTAAACCACTTAAAGAGGGCTATAAAGCACTATGAAGCAGTATAGAAGTCTAAGTCCTATTGCTATTGTTATATTTTTTACCCCATCTCAAGCCTAGCCAGTAGCTAATAACCTCTTTTCTTGCATTTTTTTTATTTTTGTTCTTTGTAACAGAAATTGTGCATGTCACATTTTTGATCTTCAACTTGTAAGTCACCAAGAATCACATGGTAAGAGACACAGGTAGCACAAAAATTGAATAAATAAAATAAATAACCTAGTACGTGCCCAGGAATCTGCAAGACTTTGTGGTAGAATACTTGTACTATTTGCAGTCGGAGGTTCAATACCTGGTGTCTGAACAGGAAAAATTACTGAGAACTGTTCTCATCTATAATTGCCACACTTAAGCCCCTGAATGCTACTAATAATGAATTATTCCCCAGCATACAATAATAAGGTGTGTAAGTTTTGTGGGTGTATGTGTGTATACACAATTGACATATGGGGAAAGATCATGAAAAAACAAATTAGACTGTGTGTGTGTGTGTGTGTGTGTGTGTCAATTGTGTATACACACATGCACACACACACACACACACACACACACACACACACACACACATTCTATCGTTGCTCAGAAAGAAAGCAAAACCATGGCTGATTATTATTGTGCCACAAATGGAAAGCCAATTTGCTTTAGTCCAGGCTAGAAACCAGGAGACTGTGAGTTGTAATTATACCTTATGTATGAAAATCAGCTACGTGACTTTGGACCAGTCATTCTTTCTCAGCCCAAGCCACTTCACAAGGTTGTAGTTGTGGGGAAACTAGAGGAAGGACTATTAGTTCACTGGCTTGAGTTATTTATAAAAATAATAATAGCAGGATATAAAGGAATAAATAAATAGAAGAAGGGAACTTCAGGGTAGACGAATAAAGAATTACATAGCAGTTTAAAATTACGAATGAAGGCAAATATATAGTTTAAAATTAAATTATATACTTAAATGGAAGATAACAAAATGAAATGAATTATATCCTGGGATACCAAAGAAATTAATGGAGGTGATTAGAAATAATTGCCATCTTTGAGAATTTGTGGATAACTGGCAAATAACCAAGAAGATTAAAGAAAAGCAATGATACTCTTACCTTATAAAAGGAAAGGAGGAGGACCTGAACAATTTCAAATTTGTCAGTTTGATGTTTATACTGGCAAGGTTTTTAAGGAAATCATTGAAGAAAGTATTTGTGAACTTAACTACAATAGTTAGCAAGAGCCACCATTGGTTTATCCCAAGACATGCCAGATCCTTCCTTTTTCATTTTTAAACACTTACCAGTTGAATAAATTGGAGAAATGCCATAGATAAAATGAACCTTGAATTCAGCAAAGCATTCAACAAAGTTTCTGATGACGTCATGGTAAGATATAGGCTAGATCAGGGGTCCCCAACCGCCGGTCCGCGGACCGGTACCGGGCCGCGGAACAAGCCTTACCGGGTTGCTGGGCGCCGCCATCTTTTTTTGGTAAAAAAAGCAATTTTTCGTCAAAAAAGATGGCGGCGCCAGCGCTTCGGGTGAGCTTTTCCGGGTAGAAAGCCATTTCTACCCGAAAAAGCTCACCAGAAGCGCTGGCGCCGCCATTTTTTTTGACGAAAAATCACTTCCGGTGACATCACCGGAAGTGATTTTTCGTCAAAAAAAGATGGCGGCGCCCAGCTGACGCCGGAACCGGGCCGCGGCGCCCAGCTGACGCCGGAACCGGGCCGCGGCGTCGAAAAGGTTGGGGATCCCTGGGCTAGATGGATATGAGAAAATGGGGAAAGGATCTAAGTGTTGTAAACCAGTTGTGATGCAGCTGCTCTAAAAGCAAATGCTATTTGGCATGTATTAATAGGAGCATGGAGTCCAGTTGATGGAAAGCAATCATCTCTTTGTTAAATAGACCCTACTTGGAATTCTGTATTTGATTCTGGACATCATATAACATCAATAAATGAAACATGAGTAGAAGACTATGCAGAATCCTGGTTCCTTGCTGTGTGCTACAGATATAGAAATAAACAGATTTTTTCCTGATTTGCCAAGATTTTTACATTAAAAATGATTATATAGGCAGTTCCTGGGTTAAGAATGCCCAACCTTCAATGATCTGGTGACTACTTTCTGCTGTGTACTTTTCTCATGCTTCCATTTACCTTATCAGCCAAGGTGAGCAAGAAATATTAGAACTCTATTGATAAAGACTGTAAATAACAGACTCTTGAAAGCTCAGTTGCATTTCTCTCTTCTTCCCTCTTCTACCGGAGAAAATCAAAGCAAGACAAATTGTTCAACAATGGTTTCAAGGTGCTGAATAAGTGACTTACACCAAGCAGGCTCTCATTGCAAGGTTAGCAAGAAACTAAATCAAAAGATACACTAAGCAACAGAAGGCAAAGATAATTAGACATTTGGTTGAAGTACAAATATAGGTGTCAACTAAAAAAATACTCCTTTGGTCATTTTAGTTGCCATCAGAAAAGGAGTGTGGGAAAGCAGTGCATTCCTCAAATACCTTAGATAATCACCTTGGCAGCCCAAAGCTGTTGGAGTGCAAGAATATTACTGGAGAGCATGATTGATGACTTGGCTATAGATGTGTCCCATTGGAGAATATACATCCAGGGGGTGGGTGGTAAGACCAGGGTCAAGGGGAAAATTAATTATGTATTTTAGTGTCGGCTGCACCCAGCTAATGCCAACATGGCCATTCCTAATAAAACAATTTGTTTTTACTCTGCAAGATGCGGCTAGAGATTTATGATTTGAATGGGGGTGGATTTGTTGTAGGACTGCTACCTCTTGTATGAGTTGTTTCTATTGCAAACCCTATTCATTCGTTTATTCATATACACAGTTTGTATTTGCCTTCTTCTTCCCAACCTAAACTGAATATATTTTGAGTTGAATCTAAAATTAGTATCTGCAGTAAATAATCTACAGGTAGTCCTCAATTTAGAACCACGATTCAGCCCAAAATTTATGTTGCTAAATGAGAAATTGGTTAATTGACCCATTTTATGACTTTTCTTGCCATATTTGTTAAGTGAATCACTGCAAGTGCTAAATTAGTAAATATGGTTGTCGAGTGAATCTGTTTTCCCCGTTGACTTTGCTTCTCAGAAGATTGCAAAAGGTGATCCCATGACCCCAGGACTCTGCGGCTGTCATAAATGTGAGTCAGTTGTCAAGCATCCGAATGTCAATCAGGTGACCATGGGGATGCTGCAACTGTCACAAGTCACTTTTTCTAAGTGCCGTTGTAATTTTGATTTGTCACTAAACGAATGGTTATAAGTTGAGGATTAAGCTGAAACCTTATACATAGGTTGGGATTTTAGCTCCCTATTTCTGGGGGGCAGGGATTGGGGAAGGCAAAATAATAAAAAGTTGTGCAGCACTTCCTTATGGTTTGAAAAAGCTCTTCATCAAACGTATGTATCTTTTTTTCCCCCCTAGAACCAAAGAAAATGGCTTTGACAGAGAGCCTTTGCACTCAGAGCATCCAAGCAAGCGGCCGTGCACTATTAGCCCAGGCCAGCGGTACAGTCCAAATAACAGCTTGTCTTACCAGCCTAATGGTCTGCCTCACCCTACTCCGCCTCCACCTCAGCATTACCGTTTGGATGATATGGCCATTGCCCACCACTACAGGGACTCATACAGACACCCCAACCACAGGGACCTCAGGGACAGAAACAGACCTATGGGTAAGCAAAGCTCTTCCTTCACTGGGGCCTCTGTACTTCAGTTATTATTTGAATCCCAATGCTTGCCTGAAGACACCCATCCACGATATATTGTTTTATTTAGTTTCCTAGTATGATTTTGATTGCTTATTTTGTATATTATGACTATCACTAAGTGTTGTACAGTATCTTATGATTCATGATGAATGTATTTTTTATGTACACTGGGAGCTTATGAGCCACGGTGGCGCAGTGGTTAGAATGCAGTATTGCAGGCTACTTCTGCTGCCTGCCTGCCAATTTGCCAGTTCAAATGTCACCAGGCTCAAGGTTGACTCAGCCTTCCATCCTTCCAAGGTGGGTAAAATTGTTGACTCTGTAAACTACTTAGAGAGGGCTGTAAAACTAGGTAAAGCAGTATATAAGTGTAAGGGCTATTGCTATCATTAACAACTTGGGTCCTATGATTTTCTTTCCTATTTTTAATTCTGTAGATTTAATTGATCCCTGAAATATTCCATGAGAATCAGGTCATCTTTTTAATTACAACCATTTAACAATGGTTCCAAGTTATGACAGCCTTGGAAAAAGTAACTTACAACCTGTATTCGCACTTATGACCATTGCACTATTCCAGCGGTCATGTAATCACAGCAAGTGTTTGGCAACTGGCTTATATTTACTACTTGTTGCAGAATCCTCAGGTCACATGGTTACAATTTACAACTTTTTGCCAATTTTCAGCCCAAAACATCCATTTGGGGAAGATGGATTTGCTTAATAACTGTGTGATTCATTTAACAACCATGTGATTTGCTTAAAACCCACCATACAAATTGTCATAAAATTGGGTCCACCTTGACATACAACTCCACTAATTTATGATAGAAATTTCAGTCCCAATTGTGGTTGTAAGTAAAGAACTACCTGTACCATGCAATGCCCCTAATCAAGCAATGTTATATTTATAAATGCATATATTTACAGCCATAGGTGAAATATGAAGCTATTATTAGATGACTTGTTCATGTTATTCATATGTAATATTTTACACTTTTTCTGGCAGGGTTGCATGGGACACGTCAAGAAGAAATGATTGATCATAGACTAACAGATAGAGAATGGGCCGAAGAATGGAAACACCTTGACCATGTAAGGAATGTCTGTATTCTGTTCAGTAGTGTAGACATCGCAAGTTTTAAATTTAATTTTACGTTTTAAATTAGTGAGAAATGCTTATTATCTTTGTCCATAGATTATGAAAATTTGCAGCCTAATCCTATATTATATATGCTTATAGATTGGAGTGGTCTTCATCTCTGTTATATTAGCACAAAGGCAAGCAAAATCCATGAAGTTAGGAAACGAGATTCATCACTATGTGTAAATATATCTTGTACATGTTTTATTTTCATTATATATACTGTATAATGAAAGAGAGAATGAATTTTATTTATGGTTATAAGAGGATAAGTGCCAATTTGTCAACTGTTTTGAACTCATTGAAGTGACGCTTGCCATTTTCACATGAGATATCACTGAAATTTTGCAAGATTTGGAAAGTTCATGATGACATGTTTAATTTTTTTTATTATTTACATTATTTGGAATGAGGTCTGCTTGGCAATGAAGTGAATCCTATTGTTGAATTCCCAATTCCCGAAACATTGATTAAGAAGTCCAACTGGATCTAAAATAACTCGACTCAAATTGTCCCTTATCCTTAAAACTATTTCCCTGAGCCAGCCCATGATAAATGAACCCTACAATTTTCACAGGATCAGCATGAAAACAAATGTTTGTAGCAGATGGGCATACAACTATTTAAATTGTTGAAGGTTCCTTCGAAAATCAGAAGTAAGCATAGTATCGGGATCTGCTGGAGAATAGCCAAAAATGTTATGTCTGGGTACTGGGACTCCTTTGCTTTCCTTCCAATCTTATTTAAAAATAAATGGTAACTAATATGCTTAATGAAGAGTAGGAGCTTTATGTGTAAGAGATAGCCCTCCTATACATTCTTTGGAAATTAAAATTTTCATGCTTATCCACGGGCTGAGTGCTTTATTTCCTTTGCATACCTGATTAGAAAAATAGAAATTGGAAATAGAACTCGTAAGACAGCATTGGAAAGAAGGAGATTCAGAGCACATGGCAATAGCTGTGTGGCACCTTCACCTCTGCCTTTATGTTAGTATATCTGTCCTACACCTTCTCAACATTTCAGACATTGTCCCCACTGCAGAAAAAGTTGGAACTACTCCTAGCTAATTTCACCATTGAGCCCTGTATAGTAAGTAAATGCTATAACAGATGCAGTGCTTCTGCAACAGCAGTAGCAGCCGCTTCTCTCACCTGTCCTCACTCCACCCCACCAGTAAATATTGCTAATGGCCCTTCTGAATGGGAAATGACTTGGACTAACAGTTGGACGTGCTGTATGCTGGCTGACCACCAGATTGAATTGGCTAAAATCCACTGCACTGCTTTGTTAATGTCAGGTTGGATACCGTGTTCCAGATACTCAAACATCATCAGCCACCCAGACAGAGTGGAACTGTGAGCCAGCTTAGTTCTCATTCAACAGCACCACAATTCACCTAGAAAATACAGTCTGTTTGTGTGGCAGTCAGTGGTGAAACATAAGTAGCATGTCCTACTGGGAAAACATGACAGTAGTGGATGATGGGAGTCCATTTGGCACTTTTATGCAGAGGACCACTGAAGTGTGACCCTGCTCTGTGGAAACTGGGTCTTATGGCCAGTATTCCGTATTTGAGAGGTTGCCACAAAGAGAAGGGAGGTCAATTTATTTTCCAAAGCACTAGAGAGCAGGACAAGAAATAATGGATGGAAACTAATCAAGGAAAGAAGCAACCTGGAATTAAGGAGAAACTTCCTGAAAATGAGAACAATTAAACAGTGGAACAGCTTGCCATCAGAAGTTGTGGGTGCTTCATCACTGGAGGTTTTTAAGAAGGGACTGGACAGTCACTTGTCTGAAATGGTATAGGGTCTCCTGCTTGAGCAGGGGGTTGGACTAGAAGACCTCAAAGGTCCCTTCCAGCTATATTTTGATTGATATACATCAAATAAACATTATCATCATTCCCTTTTTGACATCTAGCTCTTAAATTGCATCATGGACATGGTAGAAAAAACAAGGCGATCTCTCACTGTGCTACGGCGATGTCAAGAAGCTGACCGGGAAGAACTTAATTACTGGATACGGCGGTACAGCGATGCAGAGGATTTGAAAAAAGGCAACGGTAGCAATCATTCTAGGCAGCAGAGTCCAGTGAATCCGGATCCCATCCCTTTAGGTATGGTGCCTTTGAACCATTCAGAAACAACTTTGAACACTTTTATGTTGCTGTGTTTATGAATTTGCATCTGTCTTCTTTTTTAATCTCAGTCATTTTTTTAAAATTACAGTTTTGTGGCTATAACACAGTTGCCTTTATTTAAAATCAAGCATTAAAGAGAAGGTGGAGGATTATTGAAATGCAATATTTAGCTCTATGCATTCACTTGGATTAGGCTGTAAGGATTCTGTTTATTGGGGTAAGAAAAGAAAAGGGCTAGTAAATCATTATAAATTGATACACAAAAGAACTGATGTTCTGATCCTACATTGGCATCTCTTGAAAGGACAGAATATTAAAACCCCTTCCAAGCACATGCCTTTCATTTGCAGCTTGTCTTTTAAACACGGTATGACAATCATGAATTAGAATTAGATTGTCTTACAAATTATAGAATTTAATAGAAGGAAAATAATATCATGGCAGTGTGTTGCTAGTTCATAAGGAAAATAGTCAACAATTGATGAATTGCCTATAAGGCAAGATAAGAACTACATCAACATAGGTGCTATCCCACACTTACAGCATGTTTTTAAAAAATATTGTATCACAAAGAACAAACACTGCATTTTTCTGTAGGTTGTAAATGTCACAAATCCCCTTTGTCATTTTTAATGAGCTAAACCACCCAATAAAAATTGCCAGCTTGTCATCTCCAGTAGCTATGGATGGAGGAGAAGAGGGCCATCTGTTATGCCTTTGTGTCTCCCCCTCCCCCCTTTATGATTTATATCAGTACCCATTCTGTAGATCAGTTTCAATTATAGCTATAATCTATCCTTTTCTGAGTTTATAATAATGGCTTTAATCCAGAATTCTCTGCAACCTTTGCACGAGGTGAAATAGCAAGTACACATATGCTACTCCGGCTTGTGACCTTTCTAATAATAAGAAATGATGTGAGATAAGGTACCGTAGCAGATGCATGCCGAATTGTGGGCATCTACTGTTAAAAGTAATTTATGAGTGTTGAGATATACAGTATCTTTGCCTGAGACCTTAGAGAACTGTGGTTGAAAGGAATAGCATTAGCACACACTCACAGTTTAAAACACCCCTCCCCCTACCAGAAAAGCCCCTGCTTTATTGATCTATTAGTTTTCTATCCTATTGCAGTGGTAAGAATCAATAATTGCATTGTTATTTGCATTATTTTTTCTTACATTTAAATTTATATACTCTGAACCACTTTCTTGAAATTTCTATACACTATTTATATTTGTATGTTTTATTTACTTATTTATTTATATCTGGCCTTTATTTTAAAAATACTCAAGGCAGTGAACATACCTAATACTCTTATCTCCTCCTATTATTACCCACAAGAATAACAACACTGGTTTCGCTGGGAGGAAGTGGCCAGCCAAAAATCACCCATTTGGCTTTCATGCCTAAAGTGGGACTAGAACTCAAGTTTCCTGGTTTCTAGACCAATAAATACACCAAACTGGCTAATATACTTAAACTATTTGTAAGAAATATTTAAATATTTGTTTGGAAGATGAGTAAAATTGCTTTACTCCTGAATAATCCATATATGTATAGAAATATCAGAGAAGCTTCATATTATTTATCCACTTGATAGAATATGTAATGGTAAAATTACATGTAAATAATTTTATTTTATTCCAGCATTTTTGCAAAAGGATGTACAGATAGTCTTCAATTTACAATCATAATGGAGCCTGCCTATCATGGTTGTAAGTTGTGACAGTCATAAATTGGGTCACCAACATGACTGACCCGATTTTACCACTGGTTTTTTTGTGGCAATCATTAAGTGAACAGTACAGTCATTAGTGATTTGCAATGGTCTGATTTTGCCATAAAACATGGTTATATGACCATGGGATGCTACAAATGGCTGTAAACACTGGCCAGTTTCTGAGAGCCAAAAATGTAATCGCATGATTGGGGGGATAGCCGTTTGAATTTCAAAACCAGGTTGTATATACCCCTAAGGAGGTCCTTTGTAACTTTGAATGATCTCCCCCACAAAAAACCAGTTGTAAGTCAACCTCACAGGAGTACCTGAATTACATTTTGAACAGTATTTAAATTCCATCCTCTTAACAAGGAATTCCATTTAATATATCACATAAAATACACTACCAGTGAAGGTTTTTGTAAAACCCCAAATACATAATACTTCAGATGGGTATCTTTACTTTCTTATCTAGAGATGCATGGATAGATCTTAGACCAGTGATGGCTAACCTTTTCAACACCAAGTGCCCAAAGCGTGCACATCCCAAAATGCAAGCACACACATCTCCCGCGCTTGCGCCCTGCCTCCTGCATGTGCCCCTCCCACCCTCTACATGCATGGCAGAAAACCAGCTGGCTGGCAGGAGGCATGTGCACAAGCATGGCAGATCTGGGCTGGGGTGATGGCTTGCATGCACACACAGAGGGCTCTGTGTGCCACCTCTGGCATTCATGCCATAGGTTTGCCATCACGGTCTTAGACTATCTACTTGTGAAATATATAGTCTATAAAAGAACCATGCCTCCTACCTCTTGCTGGTTTCTAGGACAGAACTTGAATGGTGGCTGGATGGTTTATTTAAATGGTTACAATGCATATATCTTGACCCATGATGGCATAGTGATTAGAATACAGTATTGCAGGCTTAACTCACTTCTCACTGTCAGGAGTTTGATTCTGGCTGGCTTAAGGTTGACTCAGCTTTCATCCTTCCAAGGTTGGTAAAATGATGACTCAGTCTAGATATCATGTCAGATGGAAAAGGGTGATCCTAATAATTCATAGAGTATATTGTAGCTGCAGACAGTAGAGTTCTCAGTCTGGCAGGATTTTGTCTGTAGATATGAAACAATAAAGAACTCAGCTGGGAAGAACCACCAAGAGTCCTTGTTGGTTTGGGGCCTGACATACAGTATGTCAGTATGGTTTGCTTCTATGTCAGATCTATCTCAATTTCATTTGTTTACACAAGCCTCATCAATGTCCAAATGTGATCTTTAGATAAAAGAGAGACAGTGCAGTTCCTTAGCTAACCTTACCCCAAATCCCAAAAAGTTCTTTTTCAAGAGGCAACTGGACTTTCTGGTTTTTCTTTGAAGACTTTTTGCTTCTCATCCAGCTTCTTCGATGAGAAATGAAATGTCTTCAAAGAAAAACCAGAAAGTCCAGTTGTCTCTTGAAAAAGCACCTTTGGGACAATCATGACCTGGATGACTGAGAATCTCCATAGACACTTACCCCAAATCCCATTTTGTATGGTGCAAGACTGCTGATTATTCTTGCAAGGTGAAATAGACCAACTGCAAAATTTAAATGAGAATTCAAGTTCTAGCTGCATTTTTTTACTATTATTCAAAGAATTCTCCCATTACTTCTATCCTACTCCAATGTAATAATTTCCTAATAATAGTTATGCAAATATGAATAGAGCTGTACTTTTTTATGAAAAAGCTCAAGGAATTGGGATAAATATAATGAGTTAGAGTTTCTTTTATCAAACTGTCAGTTTGTTTTAGCTGTCAACCTTCATTTTTTCTTTACATACTTACGACACTGGTGATTTCTGTTGCATTGAATTCCCATATGATTTGCTGAATTCCAAAGTGCTTCTTAGTAACACGATTATAGACTTTCCTGTTCTTGAGGTTGATTAAGCTGCTTTATATTACTTTGACAATAGGACATGTCATCTTAATTTGTAAGGATCTTGTGAACTGAGTAAAATAATTGGTTAATGGTATTCATTGCATACCGTATGCCAAATCTATCATGGTTTGAGGCATATTTCATTTTGCTGTTATGTTTTTCTGTTTTCTTACAGCTCTGAACAAATATATACTGGTCTAGTAGTTAGAAAAAAGTCAATGAGTTCTTGTGATTAATGTATTGTCACTTGCAAAGTAAAACATTAATATCCAAGTTATGCTTTTACTATTTTTTAAATAAAAAGCTACATCTCAGGTACAGAAGGATTTTGTCAATGTTGTTTGAAAGCCACTTCCTATTTTCAGAAAATAGAATAGAAGCAAATTAATAACTTTTTTTTAAAAGTTTAAAGAATGGATCCAAGAAATTTTACACCAGGCAATGTGGAGATTTGACAAAACAAATATTAGCTAGCTCATATCTAGAAAAAGATCATTGATTATAAGATACAAGGTCTGTTTATAAGAATTAGTCAACTGTATTTCTTTAGATAGAATCAGTGTTGATTACAAAAAAGCATTTGAAAGAATCCTCTGTGACATTCTTTTGGACAAAGTGGTAAAATGTAGATTATCTGATATTATTTGATTTCTAAATCTGGTTAAATAATTATTTTTATGAAAAGTCTTGCATATCACTGGTTTTTGGTTTTTGGTTTTATTTTTGTAGAATCATTGTTTCTAGTACTATGAATTAAGTGAATAAGAGTATAAAAAGAGTGGTCAGTTGTTGGAAGGAACCATTACCATTGACACCCTGCAAGACAGAGACAAGATTCAAATATGTTGACAGGCTACAATACTAGGCTTGAAAACAAGGAAATATCCAACATGGATAAAATCATGTACCAATATAACAATCCTTGACTTCTTCAGAAGCTCTATCCCAGCAGTTTCACATACATGTTAATAATACATTAGACCTACTTCTCTAAAATATCATGTGGACTTCAAGATCACAGAACAAACATCATCACTGACCAGAGAGACTAACTCTCTGCAAGGAATAACATATCTTCTGCCACATATCTTCTAACTGTTTAATTTGCTGCAACATTATATATTCTCTGCATCAAGAATTACTAAAAGAAGTTCCAAAAATCTGAGAAAAAATACATCATTTCTCCCAAGTACCAAAGAATAAAGACCATCCACCAGAGATGCTAAGTTATCTTAATCTTATACTGTAAGATAGCAAAAGTGTGATTAAAATGATATGATTTAATTTAATTTGCACATGCTAAACTAATGTATGATTTGAATTG